AACAACAACAACAACAACAACAACAACAACAACAACAACAACAACAACAAACACAACAACCACAACAACCACAACCAAAACCGCAACACCGATGACAACGACAACGACAACGACAACCACCAACAACAACAACGACAACAACAACAACAACAAAAACAACAACATACGACAACATACAACAACCACAGCCACAACCACAACCACAACCATAAGAAAAGAGACACCGACAACAACAACAACAACCAACAACAACAACAACCACAACCACAACCACAACCACAACAACCACCACAAACATAAGAAAAGAGACAACAAACAAACAAACAAACAAACAAACACAACCACAACAACAACGACGACAACCACAACAACAACAACGACAACATACAACCACCACAGCCACAGCCACAACCACAGCCACAACCACAACAACAATGACAATGACAACAACAACATACTACAACAAAACCAACACCAACACCAACACCAACAAGAACAACACCAACAACAACCACAACAACCACAACAAACACAACCAAAACCACAACTACGATGACAACGACAACGACAACCACAACCACAACCACAAAAACAATGACAACGAAAAAAACAAACACTACGACATACAACATACAACACACAACACACAACACACAACACACAACACACAACAACAACAACAACAACAACAACAACAACAACAACAACCACAACCACAACCACAACCACAACCACAACCACAACCACAACCACAACAACCACAACCACAACCACCACAACCACAACAACCACAACCACAACAACAACAACATACAACATACAGGATGCAACAACCACTGCCACAACCACAACCACAACAACGACAATGATGACAACAAGATCTGCAAAGGGACGGATGGATGTTTTGGAATACGTCCAAAGAGATGGGACTCATTCAAGTATCCATGCCATCCATGTATGGGTATGGAGACCTAGCTGGTCCAATGGCTTTTAGTCTATTGGTGTAAGTCATGCCGATGCGCACGTCTTTTCTCTGCGGTGTTTCCAAACATGCTTCCTGGACTAAAGACAACCTGAAGTCCCTCAAGGCCCTACCCGCGTGCCTGCTATGTGTCTGTGCAGGTCAGAAGTCCAAAGAAGGTCATGTGGTTGTAGTAGCTGAGCGATCCATGCACAAGTGGCCTAGATGGTTTATGGGCTTGTTTGTTTTCAACTCTTGTGCATTAGACAACCCATTCAGCATTCCAACACCGCCTTTCGATCATGCATGCATCTGTGCACACGGAACTGCCATGAACTGCCTCTGCTGAAAACTGACCATTGAATTTGGCAGAGACTCTCCCTCGGTATCGACCAGCACACCATCTAAGTCGAAGATCACAGCTTTAAAGTCCATTCTTGTTGCGGACTCAGAGGAGCAAGTCCTGTGGAAGGAGAAGCTGTAGCTTTGCAGGTGTAAGAAGTGCAGAACATGAATCTTCGAGCAGTCCTTGCAACGCACAAAAGCCGTTAACAGCATGGAGCAAATGCAGCAAATGTACCCCAAAGGATATGTGTCTAGCTTGAGAAACTGCAAGATGCAGTTAAATCTGCAACGGTGGTAGACATATTTGCAGACTTCAGAAGCTTCGTGGATGGCAATCACTTGTCCAAAGTTGCTTGAAAATCACCGAAGAAGAAATAGTCAGTAAGACGGAAGCGAGCGAGCGAGCGAGGGAGAGGCAGGCAAACGAGAAAAGGCCGACCTGTGATTCTTTCCTCGCCAAACACACTAACGTCCTGAAACGGGCTGTGACGAGCTCTTCGACTCAAACATCGGTCAAGGCCGTGCCGGCGCAGCACGTGCATTTCGAGGAGGTGCGATGGGGTGAAGACTCAAGATCGACGGAAGTCAACATGTCGGTTTGGACCATCTATTCTTGTTCTAACAAACAGAACAAACGCTGGGATACTTGGATCGCCGAGGCCATGAAACGATCGCCGAGGCCATGAAACGGCTGACTTTTGGAGCCGCTTTCGCTCATCTCTCAGAGTTCCACCCGGTCTTCGCCATGCAAGGCTTTGGCATGTTCAGACCACAGGCGCAAACCTGGAAGCAGCTGGTTGGGCCGTTTGCTTCGGCAGTACTTCGACCGGTCTGGTGCTTCGTCGCAGTGACCAGGTGCTTCGGGTCACCAAGCTTCGGGCAGTCGGGCAAGTACTCTTCACAAACGACCCGCAGGGGTGGTGGAGCCGCCTGGCACAGGGCTTGGAAGTCGAGGCCTCAGAACTGAAGTGGCACACGGGAGGTGGGCGCAGCCGCCATGTCGCTACGTTTGTAGCGTTCTCTTGTTACTAGTAGCAATGGATAGCAATGGCCTCCACCCTAGTAGCGATGGCCTCCACCTAGTTTTAGCTACTAGTAGCTTTCCAAAGCAGAATTAGAGGCCCTGCCCTTGGAACATCCCTGCCCATCACACCCAGGTTTTGGGCCTTCAGTGGTGAGCTCTCCACTCCAGTGCTTATATAAGCCAAGCCGGTTGCACCCCTGCCCACTTCTGCGAAATGTCATCGCACTGCCTGACTGCTTCGCATCCTCTCTTCAACAGTGCCCTTGATGGAGACATGTCGAGACAACGGCTCCGCCTTTCGCTCACACCCCGCTGCCAGCATTTCGCACCTCACCAACTTCAAGCATATGTTCTCAAGGGCCTTCAAAACCCGCAAGGCCAAGGCTTTTGACTGGGGAGGCGACATTTTTCCTGCAAGTCTGCGTAGAACTGCACGTGTGGTTTCCTGCGCATTTTCTGAAAACGTGACAACCAAATACAACAAACACAGTGTTAGCTGACGGAAAGCTGGTTGCAAGATGGTGCAGGTGTTTTTCATGAGAACATAATAAGGCTGAAAATGGTTGAACATGGTCTCAACGTTTCATCGGCTTCATTGCTCAGAGTCTTCGTTCATGTCAGGCCGCTGTGCTTCGTTCCTCGCTTCCCCTGCCTATCTGCTCCAAGATCCGATCGATCTGCTTCGACGCCCACCAAGGCGCCGGTGTAGGAGATGCTCGGCGTCTCCAACTGCGAACGGGACCGAACGGGACGACCGAACGAGTCCCCCTTCCGTCCGTCCCGTCCAAAACGGTGGTTGATGCAAGAGGCATCTTGATGCCATCCAAACGTGCCTGGAAGGTGTGATGCCACCAATAGGCTGGATAGTACAACAGCTCCTGGCCAGCGCTGCACGAGCTGCTTGCTGACGCACGAGCGGCTTGTGCCGTGTCAGCGCGAGCCAGACCAAACATGCAGGCTTGGCCCCTGGAGACACCGTAACCTGGAAATTCCAGAGGTGTGAATTGGAGGCGTCGATCAAGAAATTTGTCAGTATCAAGAATTGTGAATTAAACCTCCATTAATTAAGCAAATGTGTACATGGTGGTTGCTTGCAGTGCCAATAGCATGAGGTGCAGTCATGAGTGAAGGGAACAATGCTTCTGCATGCCTGGCCGCATTTTGCCATGGCAAATGCTGGAAATCTGCTGTAGTCCGGATTGTACCTCACGGCATGGGCTTCACCACCGGCGCAAGCCACGACCTTTTTGCGGCGCACGTGTCAATGTATGGAGACAGGAATCGGGACTCGGTGTTCGGACACAACGTCCACCTGTCGACGTGTGACCGATAGCGCTGGCGTCGCGACGGCGTGAGAAGCACCTCTTCTTCCCAACGAGCTGCACCTGCCAGGTAGATGCTGCCTGGGGCATCAAAGTCAATACAGTAATTAGAGTATCCGCATGGTACAGCATGATGTTGTGTTCATGTGTGAAGCTCCAGGAAGTTTTTCTGATTCTGCAAAAGACTGAATCATGTGGGGATTCAGCAAATGTCAGCTGTGCAATCACAAGCTAACTCTTGGGCAATTGCATGCAATCATGCAAGCCAGCCCCAGCACTTGGAGATAAATGCAGGTGGGACCGATTCCACAAGCAGGTTAACAAAATATATTCAACTACTAGTAAGTAGCCAAACTATAAATAGAGTGTGGCACATATCGTCACAGTATTCAATATTATCCCACAACTGCCTTGTTTTTCGAGGTGAGCAGTTCTACAAAGTCCGTTTCAGGACAGCTCACTCACGCTCTCAGCCTCAGAACCAAAGGCTGTGTTGAGCTACATCCAGTTCGCAAACATTCATGTCGTTTTTTTGCTGCAATCCAGACCTTTTCATGAGTCCTGCCTTTCACCATTTGCTCTGCTCAACTCTATCCTCGTTGCAGCCAGGGTTCTCGCTGCCTTCGAACGTTTCAGGTGTGCGTCCGGGTCGGCTTTGCCATTGCTGGCCAGATGCTTCAGCATCAAAAACTCACCCGCCACCTTGGGAAAGCACAAGGCACAAGGCACCATCTTGGCGGTTCAACAGAAATTGTAATCTTTATAACTTAAGGGATCCCAAAATATCCCACTATTTGAGCTCCCAAACCATCCACCTCGTCTCTATCGCCCCCCCGGTCGCGCAAGCCACCGCTGGTGACCGCGTCTCGGCGTCTCTCGCTGTCTCCGCCCAGCGACAATGGGATCGTACAAAGCAGGTCGATCCGCCGCAATGCACGAGGGGATGGTCTCCACCAAAGCATCCTGTGGTGCTGGTCGTTCGTTCTTTATTCGAGTGGTCACGAGTGGTCATGAGTGGTCGGCTGTTGGAGATATGTTGTGTTATGTTTGTTTTTGCTGTTGGATCAGGTTGATTTGTCTAAAGGCAAGGATCCATGCCGTTGTTATAGGATGGAGTGTGGTAGTTAGCTACAAGTTCAAAGCTATACCAGTCACACGTAGTACTACACCTATGAACAGGTTGCCAAAATGAGTAGAAGTCATGTTGATTGTTCCTGATCCATGACATTACCAGTCAGTACATGTTACACATCACTCACAATTAATACATACTTTAATTTATATCCTTATGCTGTCTTTATATTCTGATTATATAAGTATGATCACCGCTATACCGCTGCCTTATTGAGATTGTGGAAGAAGGCCAGGGCCAGGCGTCTTCCCCAAGTCTTGGCTTTCCCTGCAGGAGGATTGATGACACGATGCAGCGTGGAGCTCCAACGATCGTTGGTCCAGCGACGCATCAGATCACCCAGATTGATGACGAAGGCGTCTTCCTCGGGCCGAGACGTGGGCGCGGGTTGCGGGGCGCGAAGTGGCCAACAAGAGTGGCCTCCCAGAGACTGTGGAAGAAAAGGCACCGGAAAAACCAAGGAAGCACAGCCTGTGGTCTGCAAGTTCCGTTTCTAGCCACCCTTACTGCAAATGCGTTATCATCTGATTCTGGGAAAAAGAACAAAACCCTGCAAAGGATCCACGAATGGTACATCGTGCCAGCAAACATTCTCAACATCTTTGGAGACTTGTAGACCAGGCCCACCAGACTTCAAAATGGTCATGGTGCCATAGTCCGTGTGCGCTGAACAGCGAATCGATCCCTCTGGCACCTTCATGGATGCTTGATCGGGATAGTTGTTCGATCTCAGGGCTGAGACATGCTTGTCCGTCTTGGTCACAAACCAATCATCTGGCAAATCAAGGGCCATGGCGAAGGCTCGCAAGAGTCTCTGGGCCAGCTGGTTGGCATGCTCATAGTATGTCTCAGCAGAATTGGCATGTTGCGAAACACCACGTTTGTGCTATCAATAAGTTTAACATTTCACAGCGTCAGCATAAACTCCAACTTCTAAAACTCAAGCACAAACCGTGTTGCTGCTAAATAAGTGAATCTATTCTCTAAGCCCAAGTGGCTTCCCAAGCTTCCGCAAAATTGCTCGGCTTGGCCGGCAGCTTTCTTGGGGGCATACCAGCAGCTGGATTCTTTGGGCCCATCTGAAACATCTCCTGAAAACCATTCAGGAGCAAGGACGCTACGCACGTAGCTCCTGGCTTTACAACTAGTAGCAAGAAGCTACGAACGTAACAGCTCGGGCATCGCTAGGAGCGTTCGGACGCGCCGCATCGCGCCGCTGTGCCCGAAGGAAAGAACAGATTCTGGCTTTCTGATTCCACCGGATCCGATGTGTCCTTGAGGTCTCCCATTTGTTTGCTTTCCTGGCCGTTGTCCAAGTCTTTTCCCTTGGAGAGTTGTTCTCCGCCCAGCACAGAGTATCCTGAGGTGGGGCAAAGATGCGAAAGCAAGGGGGCAAAAAGATGTGTATCATGTTCTTTAATGATTTTCATATTCATAATTATACTGTTGATGGAAGACAGCCCTGCACCACCTGGGATTGAAACTACGGTATTTCCTGTGCTTTGGGGTTGGTGCACTAAGTCTTACATCAACAGTCAAGCGAGTAGTGTATCTTCTACCTGAACATCACATGCCTTAGATTCAGCTTCAATTGCACCAACATAATGCAACGTAACATTTGTCAATGAGTTCAAGAGTTCCAAAGACCTCGGACCTATTTGAATCTGAAAAAAGCTCCAAGATCTCCGAGGCTCCATATGGATTCTTCGCCTCATCCTCACTAACAAATGTCTTCTTCTCTTCAAGGGGTAGGTCGAAGAAGTCCAGGGTTTGATTCCAAGTCTTGTCAATCACTTCTTTGGGGATCCCGTGATTCACCACCACGAAGAAGCCAATCTCCTCACAGGCCTTGCCAATCTTCTCAGCGACCGCTTTCTTGGCCGCTTGGTCTTCGCCAGACAAAGCCCCAATATCAATGATGGGCACCAGCGAGTCGGACCCTCGCGGGCTGCGGCTGCGCGAGCCGCTCCGCTTGGCCCCGTTGGTGGTCCCGTTGGTCGTCATGGCGGGTCGTTGTCCGGTCGTGTTCGAAAAGCGTGTCCCTCTGAGCCACGCTGAGAACAGATCCAAACAGCCAAATGGACGTGAGAACCCCCTTTAAAGACCCACAGGAAAAGGAAGAACAGACCAAACATGACTAAAACAAATTACAACATGTTACAAAATATGCGTTTGGTTGCCGGACGATGGTGAGTACAACTGCAATTGCGTGTGCATGCAGCAAGACCCTAATTGATTCCTATTTGATTGTCTAAAGCTGAGTGCAGCTACTGCATATCATCCCCAACTATGCAGTCGGGGGGTGTCCCTATTCAAACTCCATCAAATTTCCACTACCGCACAACCAACCACCATCGCCGAGTTGTCCACAACATTCGCATCCAAATAAAACAGGAGCTCCCCACTGTTCACGAGGCTCCGGCTGTTCCATCTTTGTGAAAGAACATGGTGGTTCCTCGCTGCGAGTCACACAAAGCGAGGTCCTCTCAGTCACAAAAACGCACCCAGGACCTCATCATCAAACCCATCCACCCAGCCGGTAGTACAAATATGTACAAATACCCACACACGCCACCCATCTTCAAGTTGGCTGCTGGGTTGTTCATGTTCATTCACACTAACATCCATCATATTGCCCTGTTTCTCCCCGCCTTTCTCACCAATCAGAAGAAACTTCCACTTGTTGGTGACGAAGAAATTGTTGATGGCAGGTGTGTCAGCCTTTCAGGAGACTTGGAAAAAAAAGAACTTACCAGGCATTCCTTCCAGTTCGAAAGGTTGAAATTCAAGACGCTTCTTAAAAAAATATATATATACATATATATATATATGAGCATGTGCATATATAATTATGAGTCTATAATTGAAGGAACCATGTTCATGCCATCACAAGTTCTTTCTGTCTGACTGATGTAGCAAGCAGAAAATACCAAGTCGAGCTGCTCAACCAGTCTGGTATACGTCGAAAACGTTTGTTGAACACACGAACGTGCTGAACAACCCACCAGAGAGTAGATTCTCTTCAGAGCATGCGTCCGCATGGACAAAGGCATGCAATCGGGGCGTCCGCCTTGTTGCCCTTTCTCATGCACTGCGATATCCACTCGTCATCATCCCAAAAGACATCGGGCAAGGGCTTCCTAGCAGGCAGAAGACCAAGCACGGCCATCGACCAAGCAGCATGGGAAAGAGACAGAAAGGCGCATACAATGCCTACACCTTCTGAACTCAGGATAGTGGAATCTCATGGAATCTAGGGACAGCACGGAACAAAGTCCTTCTTCAGGCGCTTCCATCCACGCAGGCTAAGCCTTCAGGCGAAGCGTCCACGGCCAAACAGGGCGTCTGGAGTCTCGTTTTTCCAAGAGCTTTGCCGGATTTGCATATACCTTGGTGCATATGGCTGTGCATCGTACTGAACCCATCCAATCTGGGTCATTGACACGTCGATGGCTTTTCGGCTGCACAGCTTTTTGCCCAAGATTTGAGCCCCAGGCTTCGGCTTGTCGGTCTTGAGCTCGTTGGGATGTTGGAATTCTTTCCTGAAGGCTGCAGCTTTATAATATATAGTCAAGCAAAGTGCGATACATGAGGCCCTCGACACGAGCCAGCTGTGGTGATGTTGAGCCACATTCTTGTGAATGTTGACCAAAAGCATCCAAAGTTGGTAATCAAAATTTAAAAGACATCTGAGAAACGACCATTTCACAGATTTAGTTTCAAGGCCGCTGCACAGCTTTGTCAAACTTGAAAAGGTACGGCTTGCTGCCGACCTCGCAGGCCAAAAAAGGTTCCCATCACTCCCTCAGTCATAAATAGCTTCGACCTCTCTTGCGCATTCCGTTGAATCGCGGTGGAGACAGAGTTGTTGCTTTTCGATTTGCATCCAAACTCCACTGCGAGAGTGGAGGGAAACAAACGTCCGGCATTGACTGGCAGCATGAAATTCATTGAAATTCAACAGTGTGTTTGAAATTGAAGCTCCATCTGCGGAGATGACATCCTCCATGTTCTTTGGATAATAGTCCACCTGGGTTCACCACTTGTACTTACAAGCGGTACAAGCGTTTCCCATCCTTGAAGTCTCAATCCTACTGAATCATGCTGGACTCCATCTGTGCGTTGCTCAATCTGACTCGGAGTCCAGCCCATTCGAAAGGGATCTTCTCTGTGAGGTAGTCCAGTGTCCTTTTTCTCCACGGGTCTACGTGAGTGAATCTGACTCGCAGAGTTTGTCCAGTTGGTCCCGAAAAATGGGTCCACCCGAAACCCCGCGAGGAGGTATGTTCAGGCTCAGGCCAATTGGTTGCATTCCATTGCTCCGCAAAGCCGGATAACACCTCACGCTCGGAGACGAGGAGCCCGACGGCCCGACGGCCCGACGGCCCGACGGCCCGACGGGCCCGACGGCTCGGCACACCCGACCACATCCCAGGCATGTGCCAAGGAGCATAAGCATGGAGACCTGTTCTCAGAGTCCTGTTCTTTGCCTCAATTAATCAACTGTCATCTCTACCATCTGCTGCATTGATCTGCATTGTCTCAGGATTGCACCAGCTCATCGATTGTGACACCTAAGAAAAAAACTGGTCGCGGCCCCCAACCCCAAGAACAAACGTTCCTTTTGCAACAAGGTACTGGTGCGCAAGTTCGTGTGTGCTTCTGTGTGCATGGGGAGGCAAATGGGAATAGGGTGGTGTGTGATCCTGTTCCACCATCTTACTTTAGGATGCTACGAGGGTAAAAAGAACCCCTAGTGGGAGGATTGATTTAGGACCGACTGTCCGTGGCTGAAACTTGTTATCCCCCTCAAATCCTCCCAAGCTGTGGCTGTGGCTTTGCCAAGGTACAGGAAAATCGTCTCCACTCTTTGGGGGAGTGTATCATCCATCTGAGTCCCATGCGGGGAATCCGCAGGGCAAAATCTTGCACCTGATTTTCCGGCGGCACTGTACCCCCAAAACAACATATCATATTGCTTCGAAGGTGTATAAATGGTGTATAATATGTATATGTCTAGCCATTCTGCATGATACTCCAAATCGAAACTCGTCAACGACCACCTTGTCCCTCACAGGCTTTTGAGCCTCGATCTCACGGATGCCTGGGCGACCCAAACACCAAGCACCTTTCTTCTCAAGCGCTCCAGCCTACTAGCGATGGCCTCCTTCCTACTAGCGATCAACCTAATACTGGTAGCACTTTTCTTCTCAAGGAGATTAAACAGCATAGAACAGTCGAGGCCTAGACTATGATAAATGACCTTGGCGCTTGCATAGCATGATGCCCAGGACGTCATTCGGAATTTCCGATTTGAGCTGTTTTAAACGCAAAGTGCCTATACACCGCTGAGTTGCCTACGCTGGGGATTTTCCAGGGTCAGAATTTGCTTCGTGCAACACTAGAGGCTTCACGAATTAATAATTGCTTTTGTGGATCCTTTCCTTCAGCCATTCAGTTGAAACCCAAGGACCTCAAGATCCAGTTTCAACCTTTCATACACTCTAAGCTAGCCTTCGCAAACTGGCTTTGCCCGCGTGAAATCTAAGAGCCTACGGCGGAGGCTTCGGGAGCCTTCGCCACACATGAGTCACATAACGTATCACACAAATGCCTGCGCAAACATTTGGTGACTTACAATTTGATCAGGTTCAATCTATAGTTAAGTTATAAATGTTATCACTCAATTCAAAAGGACACTCAAATGACTTCAGGTCCTGAGGCTTGCACAAACAAAGTGAGGGCCACTGGCCTTTCAAGCGCTCAAGCATTTCCAAGCTGAGAGGAAGCAAGGTCACTCGTGTTCCATCCTCCAGCGTGCCATGGCATGGGGTAGGTTTCACATCGCTTTGTGAGCGTCTAATGGGCTTGTAGCTTCCACTTCAAGCAGAAACCAATGTTTTTCCTCAACATTCTGGTTCAACATCAATCATTGCATGTGTTGATGGTGGATATACGCTCCCGAAGCACTACTACAAGGCTACAAAATATAATAGGCTCATGCTTCAATTCAAGGGCACTGGCTTTCACCATGCCATACTAGGGAGCAAAGACTGGATTGCCTTCATCGAATGGCTGTAAATCTCAGATGTCATGTCCGAAGTGCTGACGACTTCTCTGGAGGTGGAACAAAGAAATCAAGACAATTCCTCACCAATTCCTGTCTGAAAGGCCGAAACAGCTGCGAGAACGACCACGGCTGCGCGCGCAGTTCCAGACGACGCTCCAGAGCCAAGAGAGCCAAGGGCTGCGGCTGGGGAGAGGAGGCGTGGCACCTCTAAACGATAGTTGCGATCATCACAGTTGGCCTTGAACTGCTCTCGGTATTTCAACCTGGCACAAACACAACAAAAACAAAAAAAGGGAGGAGACATCAAAGATTCTCTATAATCGTGAAAGATGGAAGAAACCAAAGTGATGCAACGCAATTTTTCAACTACACGTTGATGGGTGCGAGAAAACTGTGACCAACTCAGGCCGGCAGAACGTCATGACATCTGTCTGGTTCGCATGAGTGTGGTACCTGCCACCAAGATGGTGAGCCTAGAATTCGCAGCACAAGAACCAAGGAGCCGAAGGCCATGCTTGGGGGAGCACGCAAACTCCCTGACAAACTTCTTGAATTTGTTGACAAGGACATCCTGCTTCACCTGCTCCAAAGAATTCAGCTCAAAAGTCATTGATGATGCCATCCTCTGCCCCGACATGCCTATGACCAAATCCATGTCCGCTTGTTGAACAAAAGCCCGCCTCATAGCTGCCATCGTGAACGCTTGTGCCCTCGGTCTCCACCCCTTCGATGAAGCGAAGCTTACCATCCTCCTGGAACATTTTCCTGGTTCAGCGGCGTTCAGCGGCGTTCAGCTCGCTCCCCCTGGCGGTCACGCGACGCGTCACTCGAGCGGTGGCGCGGTGTCCGCGGCGACCGACGTGGCGCGGTGTCCGCACCGCGGTGCCTGCGGACGATGCACAGCGGCCAGCGGCCCCCAGCTGCGGGTCTTTGATCCACGAAATGCTAAGGCAAATGGAGGCCACGCGGCCAAGCAGTGTTTGTTGGTTCAAAGGGGGCTTGGGGCGGAGAAGGCTCCGACTAGAAAAAGCCCAAATTGGGGATGAACTCAATTGAACGGCTAAATGCTGCAAAGAATGCCTATGTCGGGCTGTGCTGAGTTTGCTGCCTGTACGGGCATGTGAACCATGTACTCCTACTCCTAAAGTATCCTAAAGTAGTTGAAGCCCCCAGTTTGCAAGCACCATATTCGATGCGTATTAAGCTGGGCTACACCATGCTTTCTGTGTGTGTTTCTGCAAGCCTGCGCTGCTGGGATCTGCTAGGAGTTCCCCTGTTCAAACGCTATGCTCAGTAGATTGCTCCACCAGCTGAATTATTGTGTGGCTACAGCCCTCTAATTTCTTGACCTTAGTGCAGCTTGACTCAGGCCTGCCGTCAAGCGGTCAAAGCGATGCACAGAACAAGAGGATCAAACTCACATATGAAGAAATTGGCCCTAGCTCCAAATATACCTGGTTTGTCTACGTTTGTCCGCCAATGAGTTGGTCCGGTCCCCCGCAAAAGCAATGCAGTTCACAAGTATCACAGCAGAAAGGGAACCAACTCCAAGGAACTACAAGAACGTGTGCGTGCATGAAGGAAGAACATAAGAACATGGATGTGCCATTGAACGAAGCATGGACATGGTCAGACATGGTAAAATGAGGGAATGTGAATGTGTCATGATGGGTCTTGACACCCCCCAGGACTTTGATCTTGCGCCCTTTTGACAACACATCCAAGAATGTACATTGAGCTCCATTGCGCAGCAATACCACAGAAAGCCTCAAGCAAGAGCCTAGCCTCTCTTTGGGAAAGTGCAAAGGCACCCAGTGTGAAAGCCACTGTTCCAGGCCGATGCGAAAAGACCAAGTGGCTGTGTCCACGTCCAACATCACCACGCTGCTCGCACGCCGTCCCTTGCGACTCACCGGCGGTTGAAGGTCACTCGGTGTACCCCATCCACCGTTGGCCGATCGGCGGCGCAAGACGGCCGCCGCAGCATCGTATTCCAACAAATGATCCACACAAAGCACCCCCAGCGGTTTCATTTTCACTGCGAATCGCCAACAACTGTCATCAAGCCAAATAGGGCTACTCCAGGGAATCTTGGCCGTTCCACACCCTGAACGCACAGGCCATACCACTGTCTTCTGATCCTCAGACAGTTCAGCCTCTTCAAGTTGTTCCCATTCTCCACAGTGTAAAGGGCTTCCGAAATACGGAGATAGATGCGCCCGAACAACATCTTCAGATAGCAAGGACAATGAAGTGTTGCTCTTTTGGACGATCCAATGTAATAGTTCTTGTCGTGGGCAAAAAGGATTCAGCACATGGCATGCGCTCATATGCCAAACAAATGCAAATCCTTCAACTCCTCATAAGCTACGTCTTGCCCTTTGATTCATTGATGTATAAACACACATTGTATACTGCAACTTAGGTCCCAAGCTATTGTTCTTCCACGGTTTCCGTCGCTTGAAAGAACTAGCAAAACTGCTTACCTTGTGCACCTTGAACCAGAAAGGCTCCAAATGAGAGACCAGCAACATGATCATGTGGTCGGAGTCGCTTGTGGAGTATGCTCTCGCTTCAGCTTTCAGCTTTTAAAGCACAGCAAAATGGAAGAACCCCCCTTAAGATGAAGATCTAGTTTGGAAGGTCCAAACACATCAGTGCCAAAACCGTGTACATTATATTACATAACATCTAGTCTTTTTGTCAATACCAAGACATATTAGATCATTTTCTGGTCGCGTGAGTTGAAACTTGCGCAGCGACCAAGGAACCACCACTCAATTCACCAAAAATGATTAAATTGACAAGTTTGAGTTTGAGGGGAGTGTGTAGTGTGTAAAGGATTATAAAGGTGTTCCATCCTTGTCAAGTAAAAACTCCTCTTGATAAGCCCTACGAAATGACACTGTCTTCTCCCATGATCCTTTTTTGATCCTCTGGAGTACCAGCCACCTGCGCTTCTTCACGCTAGTGGGAGGGCCCCGGAGGGCAGCTCTTTGGCTTCAAGGGTGGCTCAAAAGATCAAACTGTTTGAGACTTGGATTGATCTGTCATATCAATGTTTGTCAGCCACACCTAGGTAGATCAACACAACATAGTGACGGCACCACCATGTCCATAGAAAGTCTCCTGGAACAAAGAGATGACTATGACTCTGATGCTTCACTGTCGACACCAAAGTGTTGCACCTCACACCACTGCTTCTCAAGATCCCACAACTTCAGCGTGTAGTCCTGGCTTCCGACCACAGCACGAGAAGTTGTCTACATTGGCAACACGAGGGCGCACATCAGAAGCACTGAGGACCAGCTTCTTCTTCCAGTTGCCACCTAGGCTGGAGGACAGTGACTTGCATCGAACTAGACCACCATGTCTTCCAGTTCCGTCTTGGGTCACGGCGCAGGCAAGTCACTCGTGACGCATGTCCTTCCATGACCGCCACACACGTCCGGCCCATCAAGTCCTGCACAGACCATCCGCAGCTTTCAAGTACTGTATAACTATACTATATAATATATAATTCATGTATATTTATAAATACTACATAATCTATATACTGTATACTCTATGATACTACATATATATAATTGTATATTATTGTATATATTAATAAATATAAATAAGTGGTCCGTCCGTCCCAATTCCACGACGTGGGACTTGGGTTTTGATCAGAATCTGTTCCATGGACGCGTGGACGTGGACGTCTAGTCGTCCGTCCGATGGTCACTTCAACTGGCGAGGCAACACACAGTTCGTCCATTTGGGTGTGTACTATAGTATACAAAATAAATACGGGTTATAATACGGGTGTTGATCAGTTGTTTATAAGATATCCCATATCAAAATAAGGAAACAAAACCCGGAATTCGACACGGATCAATACACAGATCGGTCCCACAAACGCAACGTGTGGTCATCGGAGCAGGTGACGCACATCATCTCTTCAAAGTCCTGCCGGGGCAGGTGATGCGACTTTACTGTTTTGAATCCGACAACATGTCTTAATATGTCTTAATCATATTTAATCGTACTACCTTGCAAAGGGAAACACAATCAGAATCGCATTCTTCTCAGTGAATATCTCTGATAACTTGCATACCAGTAGTTCACACAGCTCAAGAAGACACAATCAACATCGAAGCGTGGTTTTTCGTGGTTTTTCGTGGTCGCTACAGTCCACCGTGAGGTCACGCACCGCCAGCTGGTGACCTTCCAGAACACCCAAAGAGGTGAAGTTCTGGATGTCCCAGACCTCAGCGCCACCGGGTGCTTCGCGGACGAACGGAGGCCCGTTGGACACCCATCGCGGTGGAGCTCTAGGATTGGAGGTATACGGAGGGTTTCTTCATTCAAACAAGCAAAAAGAAACACTCACGTCACGAGCAAGAAAAAAGATCCTTGTTGATGCTTTATGTTGAATTCCGGCGATTAGGGTCATAGTTCGATAATTGCAAGTGATTTCCGCAGAACCTTCGGGGTTTGAGGAGCTCCATTTTTTGGAGCTCCAGCACTCGCGACATCTCGCAAGAGCATGCAAGAGCCACATCCGTCATGATCTTTGCAAGCCACACGAGCCGTTTCATCATCAGAGACGGTCACCGCCACAGCCTGCCAACTGTCCGAATTCGAAGTTCACTATAATAGTATTATATTAAGAACACAGCTGCAAGTCCATTGCGAGGTAAAAGCCTTCTGCAAGTCCATTGCGATGTTGTTGATCTGGCAAGACGTAGGTTGAATCCGTCGAATCCGCAGCCAAAACCTACGTCATCCAACATCCAACATCCACGACTCGTCTCGACGAAAGCACGCCTTGTCTGTGTGGCCGCTGAGCATTCCGATGGACGTGCGGTTTTTCTGGGCGCGAGCGGTCCAGATGCTGAAACGAGCTGAGGAATATCGATCGAGCTCGAAGCCGAGCGACCGAAACTGGGCAGCTGAGCGACCGAAGCATTGGAGCTGCGGCCCAAATGCCACAAATGAAGAGAACCATCGTCGGCCCCACTGAGCACACGGTTCTTATCAAAGTTCACAACCTGGCGGGAACAGTCATCATGACAAAACAAAATTAAAAATATATGCACAAAATCAATGGGGAGAATCAAGAATATCTAAGTTATTCCAAGATCAAGATCCATTAAGCTTGCCAGGACGGCCACCGCCGTGACCGCTTCGTTGTGCTTGTCGAAGGTGCCTCGGTGTTGGGGGTGGCTGCTTCACTTCAGCGTGGCCACCGAACGATCGACCACTGGGCGCTCCGGCCGACGCACGTGAGCTCCGGAAGCGTCACATCCCACGTCTCGGTCGACGCGATGGGGGGACCGACGAACGCTCGGAGCACTGGGCGGGTGCTCTGAAAACGGGGCTTTCGTTCCTTACGAACCCCCCCCCAGGGCAACAGGACGGCTCAAGAGCTTTCAAAACCTGTGAAAACCCCGTTGCTACTGGAGAAATGTCTTAGAGTCAATTACACTATCGTTGGTGCTACTGTTGGAGCCCCTTGCTTGCTTAGAATTTTTGGGCCAAGCAGGTCCTGAACCTGACTCTCCGGTCGAAACACAGGTTCCAAGTGGGAGAGACGACCAGGTCCGGCAGGTTCCGATCGATCCGCACAGGTCCGTCTGGGGTTCCCAACACGAAGTTTCCCATCTTCCGCTGCTGTGATGGCCAAGCCAATCACCACGTCGATGAGCACTTTGTTGATTCGAGCTGGGCCACGTCGATTCGTCCGGCTAGCATGCGTTACGCACATTTGGGGGAGCTGGACAGGTGGGATTCCAGCTTAACTTATGCATGATCATGATTGATTATATATACCCGATTATTGCACCTACATATTTTGATCATTTTAGCACTTTTTTGGGCCACAAGAGTGCTGTGTCGAACCTTCGCCTTCAGAACCTTTCCCCTCCGAGCACTCGTTCTTTGGCACCAAAAAGCATCGCTTAACCATTCTTCAGCGCCAGACATCGGTCGTTTCGCATCGGAAAACTCGCATCGGTTCACCTCCGGGATGTGCGTGAACCGTGTGCAACAGGGCAAGTCTCTTGGTGTCCTGAGAGATGAGATGTCGACGTCGACGCACACGAGACGACACGGCGGAGCCGCTGACCGAGTTATTGTTTAACGGGTTCAATGAAAACGGACGATGCAGAAGCGGTGTCCGGAGAGGCCCCTGGTGTTCTGTAGTCCTATCAAAATGATTGGAAAGCATTGACTTTGATTGCGTTCACAGTGGTGAATCGTTTGGATGGCACCAAAGATTAAGTGAGATGGCAAAAGTATGAGAATCCCGCCGACCTCACTGAGCCCCCCGATGTTTTTTCTGTAAGCCCTTGGAGGTGAGCTTGTTGCAGAGCAAAATGTCTGCCAAAGAAAAAAACAAAAAACACTTCAAACTCAAGGTTCGCAAGAAATATGCAAGCTTGGGCAGGCTGACGTTCTACATGGAGCCCTCCATAAACAAACAACTTGCCGGTCGTGGCACGTTCAACGTCAATGCACAACAGGAAAAAGGTCAATTTGTTCCACATTCTCATATGTAGATATATATATATACTATATTATTATATTGATACGGATATAGATTGAAATGCGAAAATGGAGAGAGACTATGAGAGACTCAGAGGGACAGGAAGAGACCAACTCAAACAACCACAAACAAGTGGGCATGTACATCATATAAATCATAAATGACCATGAATGGGGTATAGGACGGCATAGGCAGGTAGATTAGATCTTGTACACCTTGCACCAATTGAGTTGTGTTTTTTGTGGTGTGGGGCTTATACACTGGGTCTGTACCTACGCGGGTGCCTACGCCTGGGCTCCTCTCTCAAGCAATTGCCTACGCGAGAGGTTCTCTTTATTATATAGGTGCCTACGCGGGATGCCTACGCAGGGCACTGGTCACACCAGGTTCCTGTTCGCAAGGCGTTTACAGCTTTTCTACCGATTGCCAGATAGATTTTGTATCAAACCAATCCAATTAGCAGCAGCAGCAGCAGCAGGAGCGGGCAAACTGCACAGAAGCAGCAGAGAAGCAACACAGAAGCAGCACAAAAACAGCAGACAAACAGTGCAGCAGCAGCACACAAACAGCAGAAGCAGCAGCCAAGCAGTAGCAGCAGCCAATAGCTTCTTGCCTACGCGCTGCTGCCGCGAGCGCCTACGCGGGGCCTACGCGAAAATAGGTCTGTTGTTGGGAACCAAAGGGTTTGACCGGCTGCTCACATGGTGTAAGCTGTCGGGCAGTGCAGAGTTCAGTTTGCTCCATCGATAATGGTACCACACTTGTGGCTCAAGAGCCGGTGTGCCAGACCAAGCATGATCAAGCTTTTGACCTCAAAGACCAATGTGCCCCCATAGCTTCGACAAACAAACTTCAAACATCCACTGTAGCCATGCCATTACAGTTCATTGTCCTTGTGTTCCCCATTGGAATTTGCAAGCAAGTGCCAAGTTAAACAACTGCAAACCAACAATATCTTTCCCCAAGACCCTTGAACAACTTTTTAAGAAGTCTGAACAAGAAAACTCATGCGTTCATTCAAACTGTGCCTACGCAAGACTGCCTATGCAAGTCTTTCCACACCCACCTATGCAAAATGCTTACACGACGCCTACGCGCCAAGCAGAACAGCCTCCGCAACTTCTCAACAGTTCTCTTTTTGTATAAAACCTAATAATTTGCAAAACAAAACGTGGCTCAAATGAAAGCGAGAGTCCCACAAGCACAATTTCCCTTGCGCCGTGCCGCTGACAGCACCTGCAGCACATCTCCAACGCATTTGTGTTGCGGATGTCTGCAACAATCAGTCCAAGTTCCCCACGATCGTTTTCCCAATCTGCCGCAAGGCAGGTTTGCTGGCCTTGATGCGCAGCGGGTCGAGGCCATGGGCTTTCTGAAAAAAGCAAGCCGATCTGGGGACAGCCGGCCGTGCTTGTTCGAAAGCCACTGTTCCTTGCATTCACATCTATCCAGCGACCAAAGGCACATAGAACCTGAACAGCAATAACTCGTGATACTGGCAGGATCTTGAAGGGAGAGAGTATTTTGTGTTAGAAGCCGAAATGAAAATTGTGGAAAGGTGTAAGTGTATACATCTTCTCCTTCAAGCCAACATATGTCCAACAACACTGGGACCCAGGCCATCATCAGAGGCCGTGATAGCCATAAGTTCCTGTTGTGCTCACATATGAAAAGCTGCTCGATCACCCACTCACCCACCCCTCAGCAAATGTGCCCAAATCTCATTGTCAAAGCTCCTACCCAAGGGCACATGCTGGGACCGGAACGCCACACAACCACCCGACCACCAACCACCCAAGGTTCTGGATTGTTGCCAGAGAGCACGCAAACAACCACAGAGTGACAGTCATCCATGACTCTGACCAGTCAGGTTGGGGTCAAGACCGATTTTAAAAAAAATGCAGAGAGCTAAATTGCTTCAAGTATAGTAGGTTTTAGTATTTGGTTCTTAAAAGGTAGTCGAATAGGAGGTTATTGGTTTACAGAACTATTAATAATGGAAATTATGGACTGTTGCTAATTATTGATCAGTATTGACCAATTATGTAGACCTCATGATTACGATTTTAAAGTGTAATTATATGGAGCCGAACTATGTAGTTTCACACTGGTCAATATAAGTCCTTCCAGTCGATAGAAGCACATCTCACGGTGCCCTCATGCAGACCTGCAAACACCGAGGTGAGAAATACCAAGAAATGAGTGTGCAAGTGCTAGCCTTGTCTCCTCCAAGTGAGTGAGCACTCACTCTTGAACTCGTGACAGCAAAACAAGCCCAACCTGACAATGTACCTCGACACTCCCTGCTGTTCAGCTCCCAAATCTTGGCTGTGTGGTCCTGCTTAACCAAGTAACAACGCTCTCACAGCTGTCAAAGCCGCATGTCATTCACCATGCCTTTGAACAACTTAGAGCCACCCACTTTGACAATTGTAATCGCCTGCCACATGAAAGAAAGAACACTTGACACTTTGGTGAACTCTAACAACAAACTGCAAGAAACTTCCGTCTCGGTCGTTGTCTTGAATTACAGTGTCTGCGACTCATGATTGCTTCGCAGGGAATTCCTGTGGTGCGATCATCCAAAAAGACACAAACGGCACACCTCTCCAAGGAGTCCCAGGAGATCCAGAACTTGGTCTTCTGCGGAGCCGAGAACAGCTTAAGACGAGCCGAGAAGAGCTGTCAACATCGGAGTCATCCCCTGTTGAAACGTGGTATAAAGTGCATACGTGATTCACGTGGTCTCAAAGCGGCTGACCTGAATGGGGTACCCACAAGATAGACTATGTATTGCTGTACCAGTATCCCCCAGCAACCAAGGAAATCAAGCTGGAGATGCACAAGCACAAGTGACAGGTGTCAAGCAGCTCCTTCGGTTCTTCCTTGCCCTTGCCTTTGCCTTTCCCTTTTGCAGCAGTCCTGAATCAAAACAATCCGTGAGCCTCCAGCCGCTGTTTTCCGCCCGTTGGTCATTCAACATGGGGTGTCGAAACTGAGCGGAGCCGTAGAGACATTGGGGAGTAGAGACATCAGGTGCCGCAAAGGAAACCGGGACTTCTGCGGTGCACAATCTCAGTCCGGTCGCAGGCACAAGATTCTCGCAATTTCGTCTCCAGAGTGGCTGTGATTTCAGACACTGGGTCCGCGGGAGGTCCATAGCGGTCGGGGGTGGCGGACAAGTCACTAAGAACATTTATGTTTTAATACATGTCATTGAAGATGATTGAAACATCTATATTGAATATTTTTGGATGCATCCTCACCATTTCCTGGCATGATGAGCTGAGTGCCGAACACCGATTCTTCAGCCTTTGAAGTGCCCGGACGTGGCTCCTTCGAGTCGATTCGATCCACCGAGCAACATCCAGTGGATTCGCTATAGTCCTCTGTGGATTCCGCCATGGCAGGTGGCTCATCATGGAGATCGTTTCAGTACATCACTCGTTATGTGGATAGTGAGCTTGCTTTCCTCGAGTTTTCGTATCAGGACATGTTGCCCTTTTGTATTGAGCTGATTGCATAAGCTCTCGAGCAAAAGATGCTTGGCTGCTGACCATTCCAAATGTCAGCGTGCAATGCTCGTGCATCGGAAACTGTATGAGCCAAATCTGATCATCTGGTGGCATCACTTTTGGCTATCATGGGTGGCATCACCAGTGTAGACCGTGCAATATACCATGCAATAGCCGATGTTAACCACCCGGTGCTACGTAGAAAAGCGTGAGATTGAGATGGAGGAGGCAGCACATTTTTGCGACTTCAAATTGTGTTAAGTGTGCATTTGGCGTGGCTATTTTAAGCCGAAAGACGACCCCTCCTGAAATGGAATTCAGTCTGACCTGGCGTGAGCACATTGGCTCTGCTTTTTGTCCGGGGAGAGCGCTTTGTCTCCTCCTTGAGTCCTTGATCGCATGGGTGTTCAGCGAGCAACACGACGTGACGTTGTTGGTCTTCCACTGGTCTGGAATGAGCTATGCATGCTATGCATGCTATGCCTGCCTATCTATGCCTACCTATGCCTCAGCTGCCTCAGCCTCCTTTTCGCTTTTTCTTTTTCTTGTCATCATCATCATTAGACGTCAGGAGTTGGTTCAACGCTTGTACTTTCTGGGATTGCTGTGCTACGGCATCTCGTAGCTCCTTCATGTCAGCCTTCATTCCTCTTTCCGACTGGACCATGATCTCTGTATCTGCTGCCATACCATTCATCTTCCTGAAAACCGGTTCTGCAGACTGAGAATCGTTACTGGACTTGACAGAACATGGTGAGAACTGGTTATGTAACACATAAGTTATGTATAATACTATTGGTGGACAAACCCTGACTGTGGCCAAACGACCAAAAGTTGAGACTATGTATATATCATGTATACTGTATACATATTATTGCATACTATATTATTATACTGTACTATATGTTTTAAAGTGAGAATCCAAACACTGGCGAGGCTCTGTTGGATAGAGTTCAACCCGAAATGTGGGGGAAAATGGCGAAGCTGGTTGTGATTCTTTGGCCGATCAAAACAAGCTGGTTGAATGCCTTTGAACCAAAAAGTACTAATCTGGATTCTTAGGATCTCTTTGAATTCATCCAAGTCCTTCACTCTGACTTCACGTTCCAAATGTTCCTCACCAGCATCGCTAGACTCCATTGAGATGCAGCGTGCGATCGGGAAAAAGCTTGTGTTGTTCTCCTTGATCTGCTGCTTGACATAGCTCTCAGGGCCATTCAGCTCTGCTGGGTCTGTTTCATCGAGGTAAAGAAGGAATCTTGCATAGGCCCACATGTAGTGATCCTTCAGGATGTGGTTTTCGAACTTCACTCTCTTGCGTTCGAGCTCACTCTTGCTCAAAGAACAAATGAAGCAGCTCGATTTCATCTTATCTTGGATGGTTTTCTGCTCTTCTCGCAAATCAGCGAATGTGTCGATAATGATTCCAGAAATAATCGCTGCCATGATCAGAATGATCACCAGATTGTAGACATAGTCAAAAGTGAAGCGGGTGTATGTGAGCTTTGGTCCACTCCAAACTGGCGCGCTTCTGAAGCCATAGTCGAAATGGGCCCTTAAGCATTCCATCAAGGTCGAGCACGCTGAGGTGTCCTTGTCCGCAAATCCATACCCCTGACTGAAGAGTAGAAAGCCGGCGCCCACGGCCATATATTGGATGCAGAATCCCAAGACCATTGTGCCGGCCACTTGGTCCCGCGAGACGGTGATGGATTCAATGACTTTGGCCAAGATGGGGATGCGCATACACAAATCAATTGTGTTTACAGCATTGAATAAGAAACTCACGAACAGGCCCAAAAATGAAAACACCAGCAAAAACAGCGTGTACATCAACTGACCGTCACTGAAGAAAATCTTGGCCTGCAAGCTCAAGCGAAAAAGTGTAGAGTTCAGCTGACTTTGCAACTGTGGATGCTCTTCACGCCACTCGTCCACCTTCGTTTCGATGATCCAGCCACTATAGGACAGGATATAGAAGCCGAGCCACAACACTGAGAGGCTGAAGTGGACCGCGGCAAATCCTGTCAACGCGTACACAGACAAGTGGTTCGGATAGTGGATGTCTTGAGCAGTGATGGAGTGCTCAGAATACGATCCAACGTAAACCAAAACCAGGATGCTGTTGATGATGGCTGTTGTTAACATGGTGGAGTTAATGCACAATGCAATCACTTCACCTGCTCGGTTAAAGGGCCATGGCTTTCCCAAGAGGTCATATTGCTTTTGCACGAATGAGATGTACTGTCCGTTGACCATGTCGGCAAAATCATCGATTTGTGCCTCGGGTGATGAACGCTCCACCGCCACAAGGCATTCTTCTTGCCATTTGTGGATCAATGAGTGATTCTTCAGCACCCGGATCGACTTCGGCACCAGGAAGTAGATCCGCTGCAGCCGGGAGCCGCGCACGATCTCCACCTGGCCAAAGAGGAAGTGCAGGTACTTTTCCCCGAGCATCTTCTGCACCTTGTCCAAGAACTGATCAAACATCTTGGTCTTTGCAACACTCCAGTCTTGTTTGGTGTATGCCACCCGGTCCACCGGCTGTTCAATCTTCACATCTCGAAACAAGGGCGTCTTGGTCTCAGGTGCATTGAAGACCGCATGAAAAAGAGAGTAGCACAAGCCACAGACTTTCAAGCAGTCCTCATACTGCTCATCCAAGGTGTATGTCAAGCAAGCCTTCTCTCTCTTAGGCCTCACAATCTGTTCGTCGGTCTCTTCATTCTCATCCTTATCGCTCTCACCGACTTCATCCTCATCATTTGGAGTGATCTCAAATTGTGGGTCTGCAGCCTCAGAGCTCAGATTCCAATGTGTGATGATCTTCCAACACAAAACTTTGGGTGCCAATTCCTGGATCATTCGCGCCAAGGTGGTCGTTTTGTGCAGCACCACCTGGGTGTTGAAAAAGACAAGGGCACACGAAGGTCGCAACACCCGACACCAAAGACTCCCCGAAAGGCCCAAAACTGAAGAGTTTAAAGGACCTAAGAACCTAAGGACCGTTTGGCCATTGTTGTTCGCCTGTTTGTGTTTGATTTTGTTGACCCTTCCCCAAGGTGGCCCACCTGTTCCTGTTGCTTCGCAAAGTCATTGTCATCTTCGGATAACTGGAGTTCTTCCAGTAAGGACATGGCACATTTCAAGGCCGCAATCTCCGCTGAACGCATGACTCTTAGCAGATCCATCCAGGTATCAAAGAGCTCCTCATTGTCTTGGATCAAGCCTCGAAAGGTGCCTTCGTCTCTCCGCAAATTCTGCCACAACAAGTTGATATCTGCACAAATCCCGTTCTCCAGAAGGGTGGCTTGATTTTCCATACTGGGACCTTGAATCAGTTCGGCAGCAGTATCAAAGAGTTGCTGGACCAAAACATATTGCTTTTCACGGCCATTCAGTGTCACCTCTTGCATGCTCTCCAAGATCATATGAATCATTTGAGAAGTCCACTGAACAATATTCGTAGGCTGTTCATTCTTCTGCTCCTCCTGATCTTGTCGTCGCCCTTGTGCGACCTTGTGTTCATCCTCTTCATCAGCTCCAGGCAACGTCTTCGCCGAAAAGATATCCAGTTCTTCGACCGTGTAGTCGGCTCCCAAGAACTCCTGAAGAGGCTGCAAGTGACCTTCACACAACTGCTGGATGAGCTTCAGCATCCCAGCCATCATATCAATGTGGTTTTCAGTGTAGGTATCGCGCTTGTACAAGTCCTCGAAGACGCAAAATTGAAAACCAATGGCCTTCTGCAAATGCATGTCAGCGCTCGTGTGCGTCTTGTAGGCTTCCTGCAGAACGACATTGGGATCACGGAGGATGCGACAGCCCAGCTTGAAGGCCTCCAGCCGCATCAACGCTTGGGGATGGTAGAGCAGAATCGAGACCAACATTAAAGGATCCACCTCTGGCACTTGAGCTTCATCGAAGAAGTTCTTGAGCTTGGCGGCGGTGAAGCTGAAACTTCCAGCAGATTGACTCTGTTGGTAACTAAAGGGGCAAAAGAACGTCGCCTTCTCGGTGAGGAAGGTCAAATTTAGCTTCCCGTTGGGGTTGTTGACAATGCATTCTGAACTTGAAGCCACAAATCTGGCCCATACCTCTTCAATCTCTTCATTTCGGCTCAGCAATTCCTGAAGGATGTTCAGGACAGCTCGACAGGAGGACCACCGGGTCAGTTCTGCAGAGCCGCCCTCGTTGAGTCCCAAATCATCACTTTGCTTCTCATCCTGCTCATCATCCACACCGTCTGTCGCACTGAGAATGTCCATCTTTTGAATACCCAAGAATGCAACGGTGCGGATGGCATGGCACAAACGCATGATCCAGGTCTGCACCAAGAGCTGACGTTCTTCCAAAGCCATCAACTCTCGCACTCCCTCCTCGGAGTCGGATCCATCGTCGATGCGACGTTTCAGGATCCCAGGCACATCATCCAGCTCATCTTGGTCCACCGAATCCTCCTGGATGATCTCGTAGACTTCCACCATGTTCGGGTGTTGGATGTACAGCAAGTCTGCATTGTCCACTTCCAATTTCTCCAAGAAGACATCCAGCATCACGAAGGAGACCGCTTGTCGGAGCACGGAGATGATAAATTCATGCTCATGTTCTCGTGTGGCCTGGAGGAGTTGCTCATCAAGTCCTTTGGATTGACGCTCGAACTTAAAGCATCGATCCTCGATCAGATCAATCACCTTCTCAGTGAACCGCGGCATCAGCTCGTGGATGACCTTTTTGGCCATGCTCATCTTCTTTCCACCAATGCCTTCCACATCCTTTTGTGCTGCATGTTCCTTGATCTCAAGCGAATCATTGTGATCTTCTTGACTTGGCCGCGGTCGTACGGTGTTTGCATGCCTCTTTGCACCAACCTTCACTGCACGAAGAACAACTTCAGGATCAAATGCCTTTGGAGTTGTCAATGCCGTCATCCGAGGGTTCGACACCACAAGCTGATACTCGTGTGTGTCGAAGAGGCATCGACTTCGAAGCGTCAAGGTGTGGCAACCCAGAAGTTGCAGAGTTACCTTGACACGTCCAAGATCAAAAGACATGTCTCGCAAGAAAACGACATCTTTGCCATTGATTTCCACCTCGAAGTAGATCTGGTTGCTGACACCTCCGCCAGCAGTGCCATGGCCACGCCATTGTGTATGACCTGCCCGTGTCTCTCGTTCACCCTTTTCGATGGACAGTGCGATGTGTTGTCCATCGCCGGGACGTAGGACATGTACTTCGCAACTGAACTCCTGTAAGAGATTCTCTCCAGAGTTGAGTTTCAAGCTTAGGCCTTTCAGCTGCTGCACAATCTCCTTGCCCACATGCCACACACGCTCTTGGCTGCCCTTGAGGAGAAATGTGGCATGGTGGATTTGCTGTCGACGCCATAAATTGACGTCAACATGTAGTGACTTCGCGAGTGCAATGTCCGGCATCTCCACCAACTCATAGAGAAAGTCCTGAAGATGCTCTTGTTGACGTACCCGCTTCTCCGAGGGATTGAGGCGGGCAACATCAGGAAGTCGACCTCCAAAGTCTTCCGAGGGCTTCATTGTTGTAAATGCTGCTGTGTAGTGCTCATCATCTTGTCCAACAAAGCCACGATGCAAACCAACCATCTTCTTTCGATTGCGGCGATCACCTTCCTCATCGTCCTCCAAACCGACCCCTCCTCCCTGCTCAGGATGGTCGAAGTCTGTGAACTGGATGTGCTCAACGGCTTGAAAGTCCTGATCTAAGCCGACACCCAAACGTTGAAGGCAAAGTTTCGCTGCTGCTGTTTCTTGAGCATCCAACAGGCCAAAGGATAGAATCAACTTGATGATGAGCATGAGTTCTTGGTCCACACCCCAGTCTTCCGCAGCCCAGTCTTGCTGTTTGAATAACACCTTGAACAAATCTTCCAAGATGTCCGTCATGTTGAGCCTGGCATCCTCCTCACCTTCCCCTTGGGCACCTTTTCCTCTCGCCTGAACTCCCGAGGCCTCTTGCTCCTTGTCCGGCAGTTCGAACGCGTGACGCCGAACCAATTCCGCGAAGACAGGCTCAGAAACATTGGGTGGTTGATCGTCAGCGCCTCCTCTCGCATAGTTTGAGAACCAATCTTTTCCCCATGTTCTCTGAAGATTGTAAGCTTGCAACACCTGAGTGAAAAGCAGCAAAAGATGGTCTCGAACGAAGAATGGCGACAAATCATAGACCACTCGCTCATCAATGGCCTCCACGACAGGAGAGATCCGGTTGGAGAACAAGTGGAGCTCAGGAAACCGTCGGAAGTACTCCTGGTTGGTGTTTAAAACCCGAAAAGGCGAATAGAAAAATTTATGTATACATAATAGTTAATATTAATTAATCACTCTCAATTCATGATGAAGAAACAACACGTATTCCAAACGAGCACCAAGACTCTGTAAACCATTTGAGAAGGAGCAAGACTGTGTCGGTGGGCTTGATCGCATTGCTTCGCATTCGCCGCTGCTTGGCTGTAAAACGGTTGTGCAACACATCCTCCACTTCATGAGGCTTCAGCAGCACACACATCATTCGTAAAAAGGCATCCTGAACAATGAGTGGAATATTAATCATGTTGTCCTGCGCGGAAAGCCAGAAAATGATGTGTCGAAAATACTTTTGTCTCGCCACAGTTCCATCATCATCTTCATCTCCCTCTTCCGCTTCTACTGCACCTTCTTCTGCCTCTTCCATTTCGTCTTTGCCCCGCTGGGACTCTGTCACACTCTTGCTGAAATGCTTCAGAACTGTCTTGTTAAAGCCAAAGGAAGAGCAGCGAATGACCAATTCAATACTGGCAAGTTGGAAGCAAATGGAAAAGAAGTTCGACAGCACCAGTTTCTTGGTGCCAAAGGTGGCCGCTGCTTCGTGTTCCACACCGTCATCGACTGAGGATGCAACATCTTCATCGCTGTCATCTGCAGTAGCAGAAGTCCCCAGTGTATCCACAGGCAATGTGCTTGCGGCTGGCTCACCTTGCTCATCCTCAGAATCAGATCCGCTGTTCTTCTCTGAACCAGACTGACTTTCAGAAGCTTCTGCAGCTTCGACTGTGCTCTTCCTTTTTTGTTCATGACTTGCTCGGCTCTGCTTGTCCTTCGTGGCAACCGATCTGACCTCGTCTTGTTTCATTTGCTTGATGTGGTCACCTATCCTCTCATTGTCACCGATCATGAACTCAACTTGATCACGGAAGGCCTCAAAAGCCATTGGGAGATAGGGATTTTCGATGCGTTTCTCAGTGTTGTTCTCCATGAATCGACGCATAATGATACTGCCATTGTCACGAGTCTCGACATTGTCATTGAAAGTCGTCACGACACTGGTCAGTACCAGCAGTGCATTTAAGGAGGATTGCTTGTTCTTGGAAAAATTCTCTTCCATGGCCTTGATCAGCTCTTCAACAAACTGCATGTTCACCCTCATGTCATTGTTGGCAAACACCGACACAAGCATTTGAGACACTGGAACCTGTTCAGCCAGCGCAATGCAAGAGACCAGGAACTCAAAGACCTCCTTCTTCACAAACAAGGCGCGGTAGTGAGGTTCGCACTCACAAAATGACTTCAAGAACTCAACAGCGGCATGGAACACCGTGTAGCCGGCGGAATCATCCTCTGCGTTGGAATCATGAAGAAGGCTGTTTCGTAGCCTCTCCGAGCCTTTCAGCAACTGAAGCACTTGAAGCGCCACAAGCTCCACCTTCTTGTAGTGGATCAAATGCCCATCGCCTTGCTCCACCACCGCGGAGAAGTGACTAAAGAGCTTGATGAGCTGATTCTTGGGTCCCAGTAGAGGAAGGTGAGGTGTGAGCTTGAGCCTGATCGTGATCTGCTTGTCATATTCGGGAGAAAAGTTCTGCGGATCTTCTGCATTAAAGCACACAAACAGCTTGTAAGCTCCATGGCAGAATTTGGCATCCAGTTCGGTGATCACCTGGACAGCTTCATCTTCCAAATCATGTTCATCACGAGGTGCGTCCTTCCAGTCTGTCGCCACCTTCCGGTGGTGGGAGCCGCTCTTGTCAGTATAGAAGGACATCCAAGCCTTCTGCTGTGCCAAGTGGTGACTCCGCCAAATCTGTGCTGAGTCGATGAACATACCGGTCAAGGTCACATTGATGCACCAAATGCTCACACGGCGGCTATCCACTTGAAACTGTCTTGAGAAGGCTTTGATCTTCTCCAATTTGGCCAACTGTTCATCCTTCAGCTGGACTGCAAACGCTGAATTCCACCCTTCGTATATACATTCCTCCTTGTACTTGCTTCCCTCATCGGACTTCACCCGTGTGAACCATTGGTCCTTCCCAACCTGATAGCTCAGGTGAATCACCGTGGTGTCCGGCTCGGGATGATCCTTGTAGATGGACTGCCACTCGTCTTGAAGGGTATCCTCCCGCTTGACCAGTAGGCCTTTTCCACGCCGGGGGCGACCCACGTTGACTCGAACCACCTGTCCCATTCCGTTCAAAATCACACATGGCACCATGCCCTCATCCACTTCCCTACGGATGGCGCCAACTCTGAAGCCATCGACACTGATGAACATGGCTCTCTTTGCCTCATCAGTGTAATCAATCTCCACTCCGACGGTGCTGCCCTTCTTGAAGCCGCCAAACTTGTCGTCGGTGCGATGACCACTGATGTAGAGATGCCCAAATTCATCACAGCCGAAGAAACCTTCAGCTGCATGACCACGGCGATCACCCGTGAGCCGGTTGTCCTCCCCAACATATTTGGAAGAAATGGCACCCACATAGATCGGCACCAGCATGGCATCTTCATCCTCGTTGTCGTCTTCTTCTCCAGTCTTGCACACGGACTTGATGAAAAAATCCACGTTCACCACCTGCTTGGTGAAAACAAAATGCTCCTATCCCCAAGACCACCTGTTTGTCGATTGCTGGGATCAGCCATCCAACAAAAAACCTAATAAGAAATAGGGACGGATGTGTGATCAAAATCCTTGAGAAATAGGGACGGATGTGTGTTCAAAAACCTAAT